CAGGTCCCCAGTTGGGGGCAAGAAAGGCAACCACACATTGATGTTTCTCTCCCTCTCTTTCTCCCTTCCTTCCCCTCTCTCTAAAAACAAAATCTTAAAAAAACAAAAAAACACTCACAGCTAATGTCATACTTAATGGTAAAAGATGACTGAAAGCTTTACCCCTAAGACCAAGAACAAAACAAGGATAACTGTTCCTGCCTTCCATACTGAAGGGTCTAATTAAAGCAATTAGATAAAGTCCTTAAGCAGTTAGGCAAGGGAAGTAGAATATATGCATAAACTAATTTTTGTGGCTTTAAAACAGAAAATATCCAAATATACACTCTTTTGCAATACGCATGCAAACTTGAGAAAAATATATTACAAGTGTATACAGAGTTGGGCCAACAGCAATATGGAAAACAACCATCTTGATATTATTCACCCTTGAAGTATTATCTTTCTCAGAGATAAAAAGTTCCTATTATAGAAATTACTAAATCACAAAGTAGACCTTCTATTTTACTACTGGCAAGGGTCACAGAGGTAAGTGATCCTCTAAGTTCAACTCTGTACTGTGTCCCCAAGTACCTTACTCATGCTTTTATGCTGGGTGTTGCTGGCACAGGCCTCTTAACTACCAGGTGTGTAATGTCCAGTGTGTTGATCATGCTGCCTCCCAGGGAGGGAAGAAACTATTTTACCAGTCCAAGAATGCAGCAAAGAGGGTCTAGGCCGGTGTGGCTGTCACTAGAATGAAGGGACATAAACGGAGATGATCTTTATGTGTCCTTTTGTACTTGAAAGACTGAGGAAAGTGACCACAACATGTGCAAACTGGGAGAACACAGTCTACATTACAGTATGGGAAACCTGCAAGAGTCTGAACTAAAAAGAAGTACACAGAAATGAGAGCTGGGGGTAAGGTGAGAGCAGTACAGAAAGACAATCACCAGAACCCTAAAGCAGGCAGGATGTCTGCACCAAGAAAAAAAATTAAACAGACAGAACTTTCTGGGATGAGGATGATGTTCTGTATCCTGACAGGGGACTAGATTACACAAATATATGCAATCAACAAAAAATGATCTCATACACTTAAAATATATCTGTATGTGAATTTCACCTTAAAGAAAGAAACCTAAACAAATATTAAACTCCATGCTATGTATGCTGAAGTATTTAGGATAGAGTATATTAATGTCTTTAACTTATTCTGAAATGCATCAAAAATAAGATGGCATATGGATCACTCTAGTCAGATGTGATAAAGCAAATACAGCAAAAAAGTAACTGTGAAGTACATGGGTGCCCACTGTACCTCTCCACTTTTCTTTGTATTTCAACATTTTCATAATAAAATGTTAGAGAAAAAAGTTTCAAGAGATCAGAAGAAGCCTTAGGGAAGGTCAAAAAGAAAATGCAAAGGGAAAGGAGGAGAAAGAAACAGATGTTCAGGAGCTAAAATAAAAAGACAAAAGGGGAAAAATTCAAGAAAAGTGAATCGCAGACCAGTTGTGAACATACTCATTCACTGTATATATGATGTGCACTAGAAAAATGTTCCTGCTTCAAGACATTTCAGACAGAAAATTCAGCACGCAGCTGTGGTATCTTTCTGATAAAGGGTGTAGGATCAATTCAAAGTAATGGAGCAGGCCCTGGCTAGTGTGGCTCAGTGGACTGAGCACTGGCCTGTGAACCAAGGGGTTGCCTGTTGGATTCCTGAATCAGGGCACATGCCTGGGTTGCAGGCCAGGTCCCCAGTAGGGAGAGTACAAGAGGCAACCACACACTGATGTTTCTCTCCCTCTTTTTCTCTCTTTCTCTAAAAATAAATAAAATCGTTTTTAAAAAAGTAATGGAGCAGGGAGGTAAACAGCTGCAAATAATAGCACTAAAGGCCGCAACATTTAAACTTGAAAACTGCCCAAGAACTGTTTGTGCTTCCTAAATATGCACGAGTCACAAGAACAAAGCTTCTCCTGACTTTATTATAACATAAAATATTAACAAAAAACCCTCAAGTTCACACTTTCACTAAAGATTGTAAGCAGAGTACTTACTAATAACATTTTGCTATAGGTCAACAGTTTGGGGCTTCTACATATTTCTGTATTTTTATTTTGATACACTTTCACCCACACATTTGTAATTGTAAAGTCACTATTCATTACTGTATGTAAGATAAATATCAATTACTAATTTATTGAGATTTTTAAAACAGAATTTATTTAATTTTAGAGAGAGGGGAAAGGAGAGAGAGAGAGAGAGAGAAACACTGACATGTGAGAGCTACATCAATCAGCTGCCTCTTGCACACCCCCAACCGGCAACTGAGGCAAGTGCACTGACTGGGAATCGAACCACTGACCTTACGGTTTGAAAGCCAGGGTTCGCAAGCCAGGAATCAATTCACTGAGCCACATAGCTAGGACCATACTTAGCTTCTTAAGCTTAAGTGCTATAACTCAAATATTCTTTGCATTTCTCTTCAATGATATTATCTGTTTTATTCCTGAACGGGTATAGACCATCTACATATAACTTCTGAAAGCACAGCTGATGCACTTAACAGCTATTTAACAAGTACAGTTTTGTAGCACTAGCATAGCAAATTAATGAAATACAAAACATTTTAAATTAGAACTTTAAATATTTTTACTTTTGCCAACTATCCTAATCAAGAAGAAAATTAAGTATTAGCTAAACAAAGCACCAGACATAAATTAGAGCATGATGGGAAAGATGCCAGGCTGAGTTCTAGGGACTGAGGTCTGCACAACTTGTGAAATCAGAAGAATAAACAGAATCAATTGGTAATTCAAAGTTAAAGGAGGTTAATGCACTCTTCCCTATAACAAACATTAGTGACATCTACTACACAACTGTCAAAGTTGGGAAAAAAACTCTTGGCAAGAAAAGCAGCATTACTAGTCTCTTCCTCTGGATCTTTCATTCACTTGGCTTATACTGAACTAAGATACTTTCCTAAAAAAGGACGTGTTGATAGCTTTTTATGGTAAACCCACAAGTTTTTTGTTTGTCACCCAGAAAGTATAGAAAATATGATAAAGTAGGATTATTTTAAGTTATCTTTATGCTTATCACCCAAAGATAAACAACATTAACATAGTTTACTAGTCTTTTTCCTTAAGAGTTGTGCTATATTCTAAGTATTATTTTGCAGCCTTTCTCAGTTGATCAGACACCTGGTATTTCCCACCATAATTTCAAATATTGTCGTAGTCACTTCATATCTTATGTGAAATATACAAGAATAATGGTTACCACTTCTTTATCACACCTTATGCAAGTTCTAATTCCTTAGAACTTTCTACAAAGAATACACCATTCTAAATGTTTAAAAACTAAAGTATTTCTCTTTCCATATGATACTAGAGAAACACCACTTTATAAAATTCATCAATCACCACCAGTATATAGGACAAACCTAGGTTCTGTTCATTAAGATATGATGCATTAAAAACAGATCATTACTTCTTGCATGTGCCCTGTATCAAATTTGCAACCTTGGTGTATGGGGACCACGCTCTAACTATTAAGATATCTGGTCAGGGCAATAGCCTCCCCTTTAAGGCTTTTTCTTAGGATATATTTCCCAGAATGAGATTAATGTATAAATAAACACGAACAATTCCACTAACACATAATACTGTTTTGAGAAATTCTCACATTCTTTTATAAAAAAAGAAAAATAAATAACCTAAGAGTCTAGGAATCCTTCCCACAACTCAGTTGGCAGTTGTTTCCTCTAATTAGATAAAATGAGCCATCCCCCAAAGGCCCATGGAAAAACTCTTAATGACAACCGTTAAGAGGAAGGGAGTCCTCCCTCCTCCAGTCCAGACACTTGGATTCTCTGGAAATCAGCGTAAGGACTTTACTTGGGTGGGAGAGACACAGCTTACATTCCCAACATTTCATTTGGCCCTCCTTCAAAAGACCACACATTTAAACCTTAGTGATCTGATGAACAAAAAAAAAATCTTTGTTTTAATTTATATTTCTTTGATTAGCAGGGTTGCACCTATGATTACTCATAACTTGTATTTCTTCTTTGATAAGAGGCCATTCATCAACCATTCTCTTAAGCATTTATCTATAAAGGGAGGGCCTAGTCAAAAAAATCCAAGTTTTTCCAACAGTCTTTCTTGATCAGTTATGAATAAATACCTATCAAGGTAGGTATATTTAGGAACAAGCACTGTATAACAGAGATGTATGTCTGTTGATAGCAGCAAAATACAAGGCTAACCTTGTATTTAAAAATATAATGCAACTATTAAGTACAACCCACTTCCTGTGTCCCCTAATATCAATAGGGCACTTGGGTATGTATCACTGCAATTAGCTATCAAAGTACAGTCAAATGATCAATATGAAATTATAATGGACTGCAAAGGTTTCTTTACTCACTCCATACTGCCTCTGAAAAAAATGTTCACCAATCCAATGAATAACATACATAAAATGCCCAATTTCATACCATGTACTGTGCTTAGCATTTTACATGGATTGTCACACATCATTTAAAATAATAATATAAATAAACTGAGGAGGGACTACTTAATACTAATTATTTTATATAAATGAATCTTGTTAATTAAGGCATTCTAAGATTAAAGCACTCTTTCCAGGTAACAACACTTGAAAGAAAAGTTTTGGAAGTCTCTTATAATTCAGATATATCTCTACTTCAGAGTAGTATTTCGCTGTATACTTTGGATTTTCATATTACATTCCAGGGACACAGATTCATAGTGTAATAAAGAAAAAAAGATGGCCCAGACACTAACAGGTAGCAAGAAAAAGCTCAGGATTAAATAATTAAGGAACAACATTCAACTGTCCCTGAATCAATATTTCCTCTTTCCTATTATATACTATCTACATTTTAAAAATAAGATTTAAAATTCTAAGGCTTCCTACAAAAGAGAACACTACAGCATTATGAACTTCCTAAATTTCCATAACTCTAAATAGGGCAAACTTACCTGTACTACTTGTTTCTGTAGTTGTGTTGCCTGTGTTGCTGAAATCTGTGTTTTTTCCCGAGCACCTCGGGAACGGTCATTGCTCACCGAAGTCATCATACACAGTATATACAAAATAACGTATGTACAATATAGAAAATCTGCAAGAAAGCAGGCATGGTGAGTAAAACTTGCAAACCACAGTAAAAAGCAAGGATAAAATATAGGGATAAGGAGTAAACATGAGATATATCAAATGTGCTCTAGAACACAAATTCAAGAAAACAACCCTTTAGGATTTTAGATTTTCCTGGCACCTCTTACGCCAATTTTACTAACACAATCTAAAAGTCTAAGGTTTACAAGCACAGCAATTCTAAACAAAAATCTCAAATATGATGAATTTTAACCAGCAATTATTTTATCACTATACAGGGTGGGGCAAAAGTAGGTCTACACTTGTTCGTATGGAAAATAACACAATAATTAATAAATACAAGAGTAAACTGTTTCACATACAACTGTAAACCTACTTTTGTCCCACCCTGGACATAGTTACTACTACATGTAGTTTAATCTACTCTTCCCATCTGCAATTGGTATTTGAACCCAAAGACAAAAATTGCATCCAACCAAGATTTTACCCGGCAATAATCCAATTCAAAATGTGATGTCCAGGAACAAGCTATACCTAAGGGCAAAAGTCACTTATAAAAAGTAAATCTTCCAAGGAGACAAAACAATTGGCATATATTTTTCCTTTATTTATTCAACAAATATTTACTGAATAGCTACTTAAGTGTCAAGCATATAACTAAATATGCCATCAAAACATGATTATAACAATGAAATACCACTTCACACTCATTAAAGTGACCATTATAATAAAAAGAAATTAAAAATAGAAAATAAGAATTTTAGCGAGGATGCAGAGAACTGGAACCCCAGTATACTGCTGGTAGGAATGTAAAATGGTGCAGCCACAATGGAAAATATGGCAGTTACTCAAAATAAATTTCTTTAAATAAAATTACCTATGATTCAGTAATCCCACTTCTAGTACTCCCAAAAACTGAAAGCAAGATCTTGAAGAAATATTTGTATGACCATAGTCATAGCATCATTATTCACAATAGCTAAAAAAAAGTGGAAGCCACCCAAGTTTCTCTCAATAATGAATGGATAAGCAAATGTGGTATGTACATACAATGAGCTATTTGTTATGCTGTCTTAAAAAGGATGGGAATTCTGACATGTGCTACAGCATGGATGAACCTTGAGGACATTATTCTAGATGAAATAAGTCAATCAAAGGGGACAATTATTGTATGACTACTTATATAAGTTACCTAGAATAGTCAAATTCATAGTTAAGTTGAATGGTGGTTACCAGGAATGAGGAGTAAGGGAGAATGGAGAGTTACTGTTCAATGATTTCATGTTATGTATATTTTACTATAATTTTAAAAAAACAATGCAGCAACAGCTTAGTTTAATTTCCAAACTAGAACTCTACACTCAGCAAAGATACCAATCAATGTAATGAAGAAACAAATTTAGTTCACACATGCAGTATCTCAAACTCAAGAAACTCCTAGAAAAACGAAAACAAAGAGCAAACCAAGAAGCAGCTGTTGACAATTAACACCATGAATTAGCTACCAATCTATTCACAACATACTACCATACTGTCCTCCTCTGGTAAAGAAGGCAAAAAACTAAACACTCAATTCCTCAGCCTCCCTTTTAACTTGGAATAGCCATGGGCCACTTTTCTCAAAAACTATCTATATACTCATAGCACCTTTAGACATAGTCCCCCAAAAGTGGAAATAAGCCTAAGGTCCTTCAAAGAGTCAATAATACGTATCATAGCCATACAACTGAAAATTATTCAGCAATAAAAAGAAATCCTGGGCTGCGAACAAAAGGGTCACCGGTTATATTCGCAGTCAGGGCACACGCCTGGGTTGCAGGCCAGGTCCCCAGTAGGGAGTGCATGAGAGGCAACCACACATTGATGTTTCTCTCCCTCTCTCCCTCCCTTCCCCCCTCTAAAAATAAATAAATAAAATCTTAAATTTAAAAAAAAATCAACTACTGATGTATACAACATGGATGAATTTCAAATACATTATCCTTAGTAAAAAAAAAGTCAGACTCAAAAGGCTGTGTACTGTATGATTTAATTTATGACATGCTGGAACAGACAGATTGTCATATAGGGACGGAAAACAGATCAGTGGATAACAAGAGGATCCACCACAGGAGAGGAGGCTCCCACAAATTACAGTTGAAAAAAGATCAAGAAGAGAGCTAAGCAGCAGGCCTTAGGAGAGGTGTCAAACTCATTTTCACTGGGGGCCACATCAGCCTCAAAGGGCCTTCAAGTGGCCGAATATAATGTTAGGACTGTGTAAATGCAACTACTCCTTAATAGTTAAGCAAAAGTTCGGTGCTGCCACTGGGTAGGATAAGGTGCCGGGCCAGATAAAACAAGGTGGAGGGCCGGATTCAGCCGGCGGGCCTTGTGTTTGCCACTTGTGCCTTAGAGCAAATGAATCTAATCAGAGCAGAAGGACAAGAGAGGGACAGCAAAAAGATGCCTCCAAGAAAATGGTTTTGATCATCCTAAGAAGTTAAATTGCACATATGTAATAAAGTATAGATGTTAATCAATGATAGCTACATAGAAATCTAAGCAACTATGAAAACAACTATTAAGTCCAAAAAAGGCAACATAGCTCAACTGTAACATTTACAGGATTATAATACTGATCTAACAAAAAATGATTATATAATACTGGGAGAGTAGAAGAGGAGAAATTATAAACACAAACTGAGAAACAAGGGAAGGAGAGGGAAAACATCCATAGCAGAAGAAATACTCAAGAGTTTCTTGAAAGTAACGGCCTCTGGAGAATGAGGTCCAGGACTGAGAGAAGGGTAGGGGACTGCTGTGGACATACAGAACATTTTGGAAAACAATGTTTTATTCAAATGTACTATGTACTGAGCACCAAGATGATTATTTTATATACATGATTTTCTGTCATCCTCAACAATACTCTATAGAACTTGGCATAATCTCCACTTTATTTCATTTTATTTTATTTTATTTATTTTTAGAGAGGGAAGGAAGGGAGAGAGAGAAAGAGAGAAACATCAATGTGCGGTTGCTGGGGGTCATGGCCTGCAACCCAGGCATGTACCCTGACTGGGAATCGAACCTGCGACACTTTGGTTCGCAGCCTGCACTCAATCCACTGAGCTAAACCAGCCAGGGCTATAACCTCCACTTTAGGAATCAGATGTTCTACACAAATCAATGAGATGTAAAATAAGAGAGTGAGTCCTAACTGCTTCTTTCCTGAGATACAGAGCCTACAAACCTAACTCGGTACTAAATTATAAAATAACTGTTGCCTTCATAATCCTAAACTAGCAAAACAGAGGCCAGAGGCATGCTGAAAGAGATGAAACTCTTAATTATAAAAACAAGCCACAGAGCATCCAGCTATAGACAATGCAGTCTCCAAAGCAGAAGACCCGTGGCTAAAGACACTACAATTTACAGCCCCCTTCTGAAGCATTATCTATCTCCCTAACTTTTCCTGTTGGTCACATAAACTCAAAAAAACTAAATAACAATGTTGAACAACATGAATATTTAAAATAATATGGAAGTTAAAACTTCTATATTTTCAAGAATTTTAAATCACTGCATGATTCAAATGTCTGTTGAAACTCTGTAATGAGGTCACCAGTGACCACTGCCAATATCGTTTCAGTACAATGGTGAGGAAAAAAGCCAACACAAGGGAGGAAGAGAGATGGCAAACAATAACAACTGTACTTGCAAAGAGGTACTATGCAAAGCATCAAAGTAAAATCTTCCAAGGATGAGACACACTGAGCAAGTTTATTTACACTGTAAGCCCCATGAGAACTGTATCATCCCTGTCACCTGTGTTCTTCCAGGGCTTTATATGGGATGTGTGCTTAATTCTCTCAATAAAAGAGGCCTTGAGGCTAAAGAGGGGATAACTGAGAGGCAACAAATTAAGACAGCAATAATGGACAATGATTCACTTGGACTAGAGAAGGGATTCCTCTCCATAGCCCAGCAAAATGAAGAAATGGACAGGTCTGGCAGCAGCTAAATTTGTTAATCTACAGATTAGAAGAAACAGGCAATGGAGTTTGTTGTATCTATTGTTACTTTTTTAGTATAATATACAAAAATATCTGCAGAAAGCCCTGGCTGGTGTAGCTCAGTGGAGAGACTCTGATTCTGTGTCTATCCTAGACTCTGAGGAAACTGAAAGCAGAAACCTTGAATAGCCAGTGGCACTAATCCACATGTTACCATGAAAGCAACTGGAACGTCAGAAATTCAAGATGACAACTTAACTGAATACTCAAGTGAAAAGAGGGTTAAGATAAATAGATCCCTGCTGAAATAGCCTACAAAACAAAAAAGATTTGAATTTTTAACTTGAAAAGAGTCCATTTATATAAGGCACAGCTGAATGGCCAAGCAAAGAGCTGCTCACTCACCAAGGCCTTTCCCATAAGCTTTAAGCTTCAATACACATTTGAAAACATCCCTTCCTAAAGACTGCTCTCCAGTTTATTGCAATCCTGACTGCTGGATTTGTATTTTGCAACCTCACTAGAGGTTAAAATAATACTATGAAATAATGCCTTTCATTAAAGATGTTTTGTTCTAATATGGTGACTTTTACCTTTCAATTCATTAAGTACTTAGGCAATTTGATGAAAAGTATGGGCTCTCTCCTCAGAAAAATACAAATCCACACAAAATTCTACCTGAGATCTCATGAGGTTTACATATCCCGTATCTCTCTCCCCAAAGCCTGTCCATGAGAGACCACACTCCACTCCCTAAATGCTCATGAGCGCCCAGGTTAAACGCCCTGCTCTAAGAATTTAGTAGAACTCTAAAATATACTAAAACCTTAAAGACATCCCTGATCAGGTAAAAATAAAAATATAACTTCTAATTTGGTCATAAAACAAAATCTTAGAATTCAAACTTTTTAAAATGGGATCCCTGCTCCCCTAAAATCAAATGGCATATGCTTTTCTCCCAAAGGAACAATTAGGGAAAACACACTTTTGTGACCCTCGATAAATT